TCCAAAAATACCTAAACGACCGCCATAAAACTTTCTCAATAAAAGAATCACTCTAAACTAGAATCACCCAGACTACCCAAAAAACGCAACTCCTCCAAGAACGAAACTACAATCATACAACCACGACAAAAACAAACAAGTTAAAATAAACCAAACTAAATCCTTCAAACGCAACTGACAAACAAACAAAAAAGAAAGAAAAGCTTCGATTTCTTATTGAAGATGCTTCAGGAGTGCAGCGTCTATTGCAATCGAACAGGTTTACCGATAAGAGAGTTGAAGTATCGCGTGGTACTTGCATCACGACATGTTATCCACTGCCAGTAGAAAAACAAGGCGATACTGGTAATCTTCGTCGATTGCTAGTCCCCGTGAACTGTCTGGTCGAAATCTTAAGTCGACGGTAGTGATGGTGGGAATTTCGCGAAAATTTGAAGAACAAACTGGTCAAGAGGAGGCTCCGATGTAAAAGTATAAAAGCCTGACTGCGATCAGCGGTAGGCATCAGTTCATTCTGACAAAAGAACCAAGTGTGTGTTCGTTGAAGTGTAACGAAATTATCAACCAAACGTCAAAGACAATGGCTCGTGTAGCAGTTCTTCTCTTACTAGTCGTGGCAGTCGTCTATGCCGGTAAGTGTCGAGAGTAGATCTTTCGTTGAACTTCTCTTAAGAATTTCAAACGCTGAAAACTATAATAAATTCTCAGTCTGTCCAATTATAATTTTTGCTAGTTGTCATTTTGAAATTTTATTCTTTGGATCTTTTTCTTTATGGAGGCATATTCCTCTATCGTAAAATTAACCATAATTACCACGATTTCTCTGGCATAATATAATCTGAAGGCTGAAATCTAAATTTTCAATCTTTCCTATTGTGATTTTTTTCGTCTTCCCACTTGTCATTTTTAAACTTGACTTTTTCGATCTTTTTCTTTACCTCGATTATTCCTCTATCACGAAATATAACCATAATTATCATAATTTCTCTAGGATAAGCTAATCTGAAGACTGAAATGTAAATTTTCAATTTTTTCAATTGTAACTTTTTCATCTTCCCACTTATCATTCTTGGACCTTATTAAATAATTCCTCTGTCGTAAAATTAACCACAATTACCACGATTTCTCTTTTCAATCTCTCGTCAAAGATGAATCTTTTCGTTTAAACTTTATTTTTTCGATCTTTTTCTTTATCCAAAGAACTCCTCTATCACAAAATTAACCGTAATTACCATAATTTCAAATTGTCACCGTCGATGTACCGAATTATTTCCCGAATAATTTCAGCTGCATACCCTAACATCCCCGAAGACACGCAGTGTGGTCCCAACGAGGAGTTCAAGTCGTGTGGGTCACCGTGTGTGGACACTTGCCAGAAGAAAGCTAGTCCCGTTTGTGTGCTGGTTGGTATCCGATAAATTTAAACAGATTTTCGACAGATTCCAATGTTTTTTCGTCGATTAATTTTCAACAATCGTCGCAATTTGTTCGATCGTTTCAGAGATGCCAGGTCGGCTGTCAGTGTAAACCGGGATTCGTGAGGAACAACGACCATCAGTGCGTCTTGACTCGTGACTGCTAACACCTGAACCAATGTGGACTGCTAATTTAAGACTGATCATCGCTACTCTGTTGTGGCTTACTTCTGTCAAGCTTTGTTGTCTGGCCGGATTTTAAATATATAAGATACGTCGGAACATGTATATCATATTTTTCTTTCCTCGATCCCCTCACCTACTATTAATTCAAACTTCTCGAGAGATTAATTAAGCAGACGAATTTCTATACCGTTAAATAATTAAGATAAGATTCTTCGGAAATTCCGTGAAAACGAGCGAATCTTTTAATGTTCGAGGAATGAAGATTTTGAGAAGGAATTACAATAAACAATTCGATCGATAAGCTTCGTTTAATTGAAATTCGAAGAGAAAGTAATTCGGAAATAAAAATACACGTCCAGGGAGTATAATTGTATCGGAATATTTGATATCCGATTTCTCTGAGAATCTTGAATTTTCTTGGAAATTTTCAGTGTTTCTCTAAGAATCTTAGAATCTCAAATTTTCTTAAAAATCTTCAGAGTTTCCCTGAGAATCTTGAAATCTCAAATTTTCTTAAAAATCTTCAGAGTTTCTCTGAGAATCTTGGAATCTCAAATTTTCTTAAAAATCTTCAGAGTTTCTCTGAGAATCTTGGAATCTCAAATTTTCTTAAAAATCTTCAGAGTTTCTCTGAGAATCTTGGAATCTCAAATTTTCTTAAAAATCTTCAGAGTTTCCCTGAGAATCTTGGAATCGTAAATTTTCCTAAAAATCTTCAAAATTCCTCTAGCAATCTTAAACGCAGAATTCGCTAAACACAAGTTTCAAAATAGAAATTCAATTCCATTATCAATCAACATCTTCACAACTGACGACTCACAAAAATTCATCGATTGCACTGTTTCTCGCAAATTAAAACTGCCTACGCAAAAAGTACCACAGATACCATTCACAATACCTCGATATCTAAAAATAGGAAAAATATCGAACTCCATCGATCATTTATAATCTCGTCAAATTACTGCGACACACAAAAGCATCCAGCGAGACGATGCAAATTAAACGTCAATCTCCGATCCAACGTGATTCATCATCCTCTAAGCAGCGTGTAATCCACACAATTCTGAACATTTCCAGGATTCATTACTATACCGGTGTTAAAATCAGAATTTATTACCGAGACGCCGGTGATTCGCCGATTCTACGACTTCAACTCCGATAACAGGCCGTATGAATCATCGATAAAACGCACGCCTTGTTCGCGTATCGATCGTTAACTAGAGCAAACTCTGTTTCATTATCGCGCACAAGAGTGACTGGATGGCTCAAGGAAATCAAACAGAAGATTATATCGAAAATGATAATTATTTCTTTTTTCTTTCACGCATGATTACAATTCTTTCTCGAACACCAAATTTCTTCGCCCTACTCTCAATCTTGACACTTTAAGCGCCGGACCCGCTTTAACCCTTTCGCTACGGCAGATTTCAAGGCGTGACGTGGATGACTGACGGTAAATTTTTAACCACCCATGCAAAATTTCTTAATTTTACCGTATCGGTTTAAAATTCGGTTTATTAAACTAAGATGAAAGCGTGTAAAGAATAAAATTAAGCATTGAATTAAGATGGAAGTGCGCCGATAGTAATGAAAGGGTTAAGGCGTAATATGCCTAAATGCGTTTTTACATGTTTGTTCCGGAAAAAGTATTATATCCCTTGAACAGCAAGTGGCTGAATATTTATATGACTAAAAATCGTCGCTGTGCCTGTAATAAGCACTATGTAAAATTTGTCAATAGAAATTTTCTGCTTTACAAGAGTTATTCTATTTGATTTTGTAAACGTGCGTGTTTCTACAAAACTGGTAAATATTGCGGCGCTTTAGGTGCTAACCCTTTGCACTCGAAGGCCCTTATTTCTAAGGAAGTAGCAAAAATTAATGTAATTTTTTAAACTAATATTTTTATTAGAAGTTGCTTCTTTCAAACTACACATGTAGCGAACAATTCGCGGAGGTCCATAAACCTGCTGTCTTGGAAAATATCCTTAGAGTTGCCTCTAATGGTAAATACAATGTCGCTTCTTACTCGCCTCAAAGAGTGCAAAGGGTTAAATCTCAACGAACGATTTGGTAAATAAAATCGACAATCTCAACAGTTCTTTGGCAAGACACACTCCTTTGCATGGTTCCTTTTAAATCCAGGAAGACACTGACAAGCTGTTACACAAACCTAAAATTACCAAATAAATTAAATTAGTTCCTCGTGAAATTCCACCTTCGAGACAATTTTTTCAAAAAACACTGACAGCGAGGCATTGTGGAAGCTGAGGATATGCACAGTTAGGCTCGCAAGCGGTTCCACAGAGCTTGAACTCCTCGTTTTTTGGGCAAAGTATTTGTGCATCGATCACTGAAATAAAAATCAATTTTTCCTGGAATTTTCTCGAGGAGGAGAAGATTATTCGTGAAATACAGTAAATTCTCCACAAGTGTCAGTCCTCAAGGAATCTAAACCTGACACTTGTAGAGTCAGGGACTACCGTTTTCGTGCCTCGCGCCCTCCTTTGTAGTTTGCCGAACGTAGACAAGGACAGCGAATAAAAGATAAGGATGAAACGTGAGTCGAGGCAACCAAGCGATTTAAATACCAACTTTTTTAATTTTACGTTTTTTTATCCCGAAATTTTTCTTAACATATCGATGAGATTTTTCTGATGAAAATGACATCAAACACGACGTAATTTGAACAACATTTACTTACGCCAGACAGTGAACGTGTTAATAAGTAAATGTTGTTCAAATTATATCGTGTTTGATATCATTTTCATCAGAAAAAAACGTAAAATTAAAGAAATTATATTTTTCTATTATGAATTGTCGAGCCGTGAAATCTCGTAAAGGAAACCGAGTGGTGTAGCGTTACACGCTTGACTGACTGCGAGCGAGATAACATGGGCGCAGCAATGACACAGAACTAGGCGTAGGACCGTCTATACTGACACTTGTAGAATCCAAACTTACTGACGCTTGTAGAGAATTTACCGTACTCACGATTAATGGAAACAACGGCAACGAGCAGGCAAAGAACGACTGTGCGAGACATTTTCGACGATTGTCTCCTGTGAGTCATGGAAGTTTCTAAATCACTAATGACATTGAACCACGAATCGAGCCCATTTTTATACGAACCATCATCTCATCGAAATTCGATAAAATTCTTTATCTCCTTATCGTATTAACTTTTCACACCTGGTCAACTGACATGTTACCTGTTACAATTAATCGCCAGATAACCGACGAATATATTCACCGAATTAATCGAAGAAACGAGAGAACAAGGAATGAATCGATCTGCACGAAAAACCAATACGAAAAATACCGTGGAAATTTGAAAAAAAATTCATCGCCATCTCCATCCCAGCTGCGATCCAATTCTCGTTAGCCAATTTGACCGCGACAGCGTACAGGTACACTTCTGGCTAAAAATTTGTAACCACTGTGCGTTGCCATTGATTCGAGAATTTTCAGACAAAAAAAAGGATCGATGAAAAAGCTTCGCGCTCTCATTGTTACAGAAATCTGTCGTAACGAAGGTAAAAGCGTTAATTTTAAAGGCGGAAGAAAAGAATCGGTAGCGAAATGACGATGAATTGGCAGAACGGGTGAAAAGTTTTGGCTGATCGTGTATTTTTGAACGAAAACGAACAGCGACCGGTAGACGAGTCGAAACGATTAGTTAGCTATTAACAAACCGGGTGAAACGTGGAACCGTTGGCCGTGGACCCGTAGAACAAGCGAGTAGGTTCGGTTGCAGGAGCATTTATCAAGGGGGGAATGGTGAATTATCGAGTTAATGTTGCGTACAGTGGCTGGTTGCTCTTGGCCCCTCTGTACCAGGCAGCTTGTCTATCCGACACGTGGACGGGTAAACAGGACCGCGTTTAATCGGTATCGCGCTTCGAATCTCCGCAAATGTGACTTTTCTCGCGTAACTAACGCCTCGAGCAAACAAACCAACCAACCACCAGAGTATACATCGGGTAGGACTGGTTGCTGATTCCGCTGGAAATATTATCGTTCGTCCGTGAATATTCGACCGGTCCAATTAAAACTTGCCCCCCTGTTCACTTAATTTCAGAGGGAACAATCGGAACCGGAGAGCTTCGATCAGCAGCTCGTTACAACTTTTTAACAACGTGGAACATTGTGGAAACGGTGAAAATTAGAGGTTCGTACGAGCAATCGTAAAGGAGAATCGATTGTGTGATTTTTTAGATTTTTTCGTGGGTATTTTTAGTTGTGGGTTATTTGGAATTTTGGTCACGGATGAGGTACAGAGCTGCGTGCGTGAAATTGAGGACTCTTGAAGAGTGAAAATTGTAGATATTAATTTTTCGAAATGTGATAAAGAAAGATACTCAAATCTTTTGCGGAAATTTCACTGGAATTTGGATCAGAGATGAGGCGCAGAGTTGCGCGCGTGAAATTAGAGGCTTTCAAATAGTGAAAATTGTGTCAGTTTCTTAGAATTTCGTAACAAATTTTTCGAAATGTGATAAAAGAGAGATGCTCGATTCTTTCACGGAAACTTAGATCAGAGATGAAGTGTAGAGTTGAGTGCGTGAAATTAGGGGCTCTCGAACAGTGAAAACTTTCGATATTAATTTCTTAGATTTTCGTAACAAATTTTTCGAAATAAATCTTTCACGGAAATTTCACTGGAATTTGGGTCAGAGATGAGATTGAAGTTGTGCGCGTGAAATTAGGGACTCTCGAACAGTGAAAACTGTAAATGTTAATTTCTTAAATTTTCCTAAGAAATTTTTCAAGACATAGTAAAACAGAGATACTCAAATCTTCCACGGAAATTTCACTGAAACTGTGTGAGAGTTGTGCTCTCAAACAGTGAAAACTGTATCGATTTCTTAGACTCTCGCAACAATTTTTTCGAAATACGATAAGAAACAGATACTCAAATCTTTCGCTGAAATTTCACTGGAAATTCTGTTTTTCAGAAAGTCCGAGACAAGGCATCGAGATTGCTGCACGATTCTCGAGGGCCCTCGGGGAGAAGGCAATCGTCGGTTCTGGAGGAAGGAACATAGGGAGGTGAGTCGAAATTCGTGGCATATTCCGCTGAAACCGAGTTTCCTTCCGGCTGGTTGGTTCAATACGTTCCATCCGGCTAAGGCGGAGCACAGCCCATGGACAATACACTTTTCTCGATGAATCCTGTGGACGCGAATGGAATATCCCGATCGAACAGCGAGATATTGCCGAATTCTCTTCTCTATATGACGTATGGGGTGGTTCTTTAGTACCGACGAACGATCATCGTCCCCTTTTCTATTTCTCCTCTTCGTTCTCAAGACAGATCTTAGATTAAAATAAACCAACCGCTGCTTCCAATCATTTGTATTAATAATCACGTGAAAAAGCAATGCTCGTTAAACTCAATAATCGATCGATAATACAGGATTAACACCAGAACAACTCGAGTTCAATCCTGGTATATTTAGATAAGATTGTACAAAGAACTTCAGAATTACAATCGTTAATGGAACGTAAATTCGCATGCATAATCATTTCTTCATTTCAACAAGAGACACTGTACGTATTCTTGAACAAAAGTGTCTTAATAATTTCTGCAATTTAAACTGAAATCCGTCATTTTCATGGATTTCGATTACTTTTGATTTTTAGTTAATTTAATTTAATATATTATTATTTTTGGAAATAGGTTCGGCAAAAAAACGGCGATTTCATCTAGCACAACCTGATAAGACGGCGAAAGCGTCTTAATAAATTCTGTAATTTGAAGTAGGAAATCTGAAATCCATCGTTCTTATGGGTTCTGATTCTCACTTTTTTAAATTCATTATTTTTACCTTTGAATTTATTTCATTTAATATTTTTGCTTTAAATTTGATTATTTTTGAAAATAGGTACATCGTTATAATTTCGACCTAGAAAAATGGCAACTTCACCTAGTCCAGTCTAACGAAACAGCGAAAGCGTCTTAACAAAAAATTCTTTAATTTAAAGCAAGAAATCTCACGTCATTTTCACGGATTTGCCAGTTCCACTGTTAAAACTTACAATACTCCCGTCGAAAAAATTCACTCGAAGAATTATTTCGCACGTGGAATCATCGGTGGTGAATTCGAAGGTGACACGCACACGTATCAGGAACAATCTTCCGAGCGATAACAGATAAAACGGGGACAGAGAAAGGGCCACCGTTAAAACGACGAATTCCTCACCTACAGAGCAAAGCCGCGCAACGTCCTCTTTATACAGATAAATAGTCTCGATACAAAAGTATCTCCTCTAACGGTCCATTTACGGCTGGAAAATTTAGTCGACCGCCGGGTACATAAAGCTCCGAACGGTCCAGGCTCCATCTAAGTGCGCGATTTATGGAAATCGAGAGGCTCCATAACCGGGGACGTTGCAAATCTTTCGCTGGGGACCACCGTCGTCTATCTCGTGTCTAGACGACACCCTCTTTGCTGAAAATAACCGAGATCGCTCTCAGACAATGAGTCGCTAGTGCCTTCAACCTTGCCTCTCTGTCCAACGTCCACAATCGCGAATATCTCCGATCGATCCTCTGCGCGTGTGGCAACTGTTCGATCATCGTACACACGCCCCTCTCTTGATTCTCGCGGTAAATAAATTATGCAAGGATTAGAAGCTACGATGTCTGCCTGGGTGAAAATAAGATAGGGAATTAGCGAGCGAACGATTAGATAATGACTCTCGTAGCCTCGACCCAACCGTGCACTCGCTATCACCGACGAGTTCCTTTAGCTCTAATTATCCGCGAGCCACGTCTAATTGCCTGAGAACGCGCTTAATTGCCATCTGGCGACTCGATCGGTGAAGGGTACGCGCCTGATCGACGGTGACCAACTGTACACTGATGTCGAGAGACTACGCTGACGATGGAAAATTCTTAGTTTCGCGAAGTTGTTCTGCTTTTTTGCTTTGTTTGTTGGATTTACAGTAAATCGTATATACTTACTTGCACTTTACGTATACCAATTCTTATCTCGGCCGGTTAAATGACCGATTGTGAGGTAAAGATGATATTTTTTGAAGAGGAATAGAAGTGACTGTCAATTTAACTCTTTGCGGTCGAACCTTGGGAATGAAATACTCTAGAACAAGGAGTCTTTACCTTCTAAACTCTCTGTGGTCCCTTTGCCTGTAGATACGGGGGGGAAATAATACGCACAGCTTAAATACACTCGTTTGAATAAAATTTATGCGATTTTTGGGGAATAATTGACTGAACGCACGCTACCAAAAAACAATTCCGACCAGTGTGCTTATGGACAATAGGACCGCAGAGAGTCAATATAGGAAACAATGCAAGAAAATAGCCTTTAGACAATAATAACAAAAAGGTTACATAAATTGTTAGGTAGAATACGTAAGAAGAAAAAAGAAGAGGGAAAAGAGAGGGCTGTTGTACGGTAAAACGGCGATAAAGCCAGAGAGAAGAAGAAATAGAAGGAAAAAAGAAGAATGCAGTATGAGAAGGAGAGTAGCAATTATTAAAATAAGTATTATAGCTTACAATCCTATGTAAATGATAAATATCAATAACACGATTCTTTTTCTTAGCTTTCACATTGTTATTTTCAATTCTCGAATATATTCGAGTGTGAAAAATTATAGCAGCATCAAATACAACGCCGCTCGAATTATCTCGAGTGTGCACAGTTTGGCCTGTTTAGCGCGCTCGAATTAACTCGAGCGTGCAAGTTAAGGGGTTAATAAGAATATACTAATAGTTAGTAAATAGGTAACCAAAGAATGTGCGAGTGACAAGTCAAAATGGAGCATGCATGGACACAATGTACCGTAATAAGAATATACTAATAGTTAGTAAACCGGTAACCAAAGAATGTGCGAGTGACAAGTCAAAATGGAGCATGCATGGACACAATGTACCGTAAACCAAGTCCTTTTCATAGCCACGAGCCTAAAAATAAATAAGTAATAAATAAATAAGCGATATAGTTATTATCAATGCTCGAAGAAGTACCTTGTGGATACACGCGTTAAGGCAGAGGTTCCCAAAGTGCGGCCCGC